GAGCTGCACGTCTGAACTGGCAGGAGCTGCTGTCTCCGAAGTGAAGTCAACAGCCGTATTGGCAGAGAGGTTAATGAGATGTCACACAGCGTGGTGCAGGTGGGTCTCTGGAGGTGAATGTGACCAGACTGATGCTCAGGGTTCTTTCGTGTGGGTCAGAGGGTCCCTGATGTCATCCTTCATCAGGAATGAGGAGTGCTTATTTTCAGCTGAATATTTCCCTAACCACAGACGAGACAGGACGGGACCACACATTCCAGAGTTCTGGCAGCTTGGGAAACTGTGCTGTGAGTCCTGCCTGGCCACCTCGCCTCCTCATGGTGGCCTGGTGCCCACCCCTGAGGCTCTGGGGTCTGACTGCCAGCTTGGATGAGAACCATGTTTGTGGCAAGATGTGCTGGCCATGTACCAGCTCCCCTTCTTCCCCTCCTCTCATGACTCAGCCCCACAGATATTAGCCTGGGCTACAGAGACCGGACAGACACAAGGACAAGCATCCCAGGCAGGGGGAACAGCATGGGTTATGGCCTAGAGACATGACATGTCTTCCTTGGAGAAGGTGTATATAATGTTCTATAGCCAGAGCATGAAGCTCCTGCTGTGTGGGGGAGAGATATGAGACAGGAGGGCAGGCGTCTGGCTTCCTGAAGGCCCTGAGCATCTAGGGCTTGTGTCAGAATCAGAAACGCCTTCCCGGAGTGACCAGTGGCATGGACAGGTAAAGCATAAGGGTTGAGAGATTGAGGTAGGTTGTAACAAAGGTTCAGGTGACGTCTGAGTCCTTCCAGAGAACAAACCAGCTGACAGGCTGGGTCCCCAAAGGGCCACAGGCTGGCAGGCATGGTCTAGCCTGTAGAAGAGGAAGCTAGTACTTCCCAAAATGATCTTCCTGATGGGTAATGGGGTGGTGGAGTCAAAACTCAGCTTCCTATGGTGTCCACCTGGGTTCAGTTCCACTCTAAGCTCCTATAGGCTGGTTTTCCAAAGGACTCACACTCTTCAGCCTGGCACTGAGTAGAGGTGGCTGATGCCCACCCTAGCCCCCCATTTCTCCCACCAGTCCTGCAGTGAGGCCCCACCCAAATGCCCTAACTCTCTCCTCCACTCGGCTGGGACACTCAGGCTCAACCTCCCTTCCCACCTTCACACAATCTGCATCGACGGCCTTCAATCTGCACTGAAGCACCCACCTGTGCCCTAGCTCCGTCCAGGTTATCCAGACACCCGAGCAGCTCACTCCACAAGCGACACATCACACCAAGCCCCCATTTTGTGCTAGTATCTTAGAGATACTAAGCCATTTGACATCTCCCAGGACCGTGGCTTTGAGTGCCTTTGTGTATGTTTGATTTGTACTTCTTCTTCCTCTTCTTCCTCTTCTTTTTCTCTTTTTTATTTTTTTCCTTCATTGACAATATTTTTTTTCTCACATATTATATCCTGATCATGGTTTCCTCTCTGTCCACTCCCAGATCCTCTCCACCTCTCCTCCCATCCTCATCCACCCTGTTTCTGTCTCATTAGAAAACAAACAGGCTTCTAAGGGATAATAATAAAATAAGATGAAAGAAAAAAATGAACACATCAGAAATGTACAAGACAGACCGACAGAAGGAAAGAGCCCAAGAGAAGACACGAGAAACAGAGACCCACTCACTCCCACACTCAGGAATCCCGTAAAAACACTAAACTGGAAGAGGTAATATATGTGTGAAGGACCTGTGGAGTCAAAAGAGAAAATATAGCCGGGCGGTGGTGGCGCACGCCTTTAATCCCAGCACTCGGGAGGCAGAGCCAGGCGGATCTCTGTGAGTTCGAGACCAGCCTGGGCTACAGAGTGAGATCCAGGAAAGGCGCAAAGCTACACAGAGAAACCCTGTCTCGAAAAACCAAAAAAAAAAAAAAAAAAAAAAAGAGAAAATATATATATATAGATAGATAGATAGACAGAGAGAGAGAGAGAGAGAGAGAGAGAGAGAGAGAGAGAGAGAGAGAGAGTAAAAAAATAGCCCTAACAGGACATTATGAGACAAGGACCCTCCAAAAACTCTACTGAGTTCGTTTTCTGTTGGCCATCTACCACTGAGCACGCAGCCTACCCTTAAGAATAGTTTGTTTAGCTGGGCAGTGGTGTCACACGCCTTTAATCGCAGCACTCAGGAGGCAGAGGTAGGTAGATCTCTGTAAGTTCAAGGCCAGCCTGGTCTACAAAATAAGTTCTAGGACAGCCAGGGCTACATAGACCCTGTCTTGGAAAACAGACAAACAAAAAAATTGTTTTCCCCAGTGAGCCTCCCTTGGAGGAAACTTCATTTGCAAGTGGTTATCAGTAGGACATAGCTTCTGGATTAGAGAAGAGAGCACGTGTCCACTTCTTCTTTCAGCTCTAGGACCCCATCTGGTGCAGACCCAGGCAGGCCATGTGCATGCTGCCTCGGTCTCTGTGAGTTCATATGTGTGTCGATCTTGTTGATTTAGAGGGCCTTGTTTCCTTAGTGTCCTCCATCCTCTGGTTCTTACACTCTTTCTGCCTCCTCTTCTGCAGGGTTCCCTGAGCCCCGGGGAAGGATTTAGTGGAGATATCCCACTTAGGGATGAGGGTTTCAAGGTCCCTCACTCTCTGCATAATGTCTATCTGTGGGTCTCTGTATTTGTTCCTATCCACTGCAGGAGGAGGCTTCTCTGATGATAGCTGAGCAAGGTACTGATCTGTTTTCCTGGCCGAAGTAGTTTGTTCTTCTTGGTGAACTCCTATTCATCCCTTAAAACCCAGTTGGAAACCACTCCTCATGATTGCCCTTCCACAGGACTACATATATAATTAATCTCTTCTCTAGATCCTAAGAAGGCCTAGAACAGGGCCTGGTATACACTCAGTACTCACTTATTGTTTATTAGAGAGATGAGAAAGGTATCTCAATGAATGATGGAATGACTTGATTCTCAGACCCCAGAAGCACAGCTGCTCAAAGACAGATAGGTATTTTAAAACCAGACAGAACCAGACAGCCCCCACCTCTACCTCTTGCTGTGGGTACATCAGCTCCCTGAATCTCCATATCACTTTCTGCAGACTGCTGACAACCATGTGGAGAGAACAGGAAGCTGGGTGAGGGAGACACTGCCAGCCGCCATCAGGACAAGGAAGATGTAAAGTACCGGTAAGCCACAAGCCACGTGGCAAGGTATAGATTAATAGAAATGGATTAATTTAAGCTGTAAGAACAGTTAGCAAGAAGCCTGCCACGGCCATACAGTTTGTAACCAATATAAGTCTCTGTGTTTACTTGGTTGGGTCTGACGGCTGTGGTACTGGCAGGTGAGAGAGATTTGTCCTGACTGTGGGCCAGGCAGGAAAACTCTAGCTACAAATGGCGCCCAACGTGGGGCAAGAGTTTCCACCTAAAACCTGAGTAAAAAGATTCTAAAACGGAGCTAAAAACAGCTCCTAGTTGTCTCTTTTAAGCTAGCGGCAGCCTGCGTGTTTGAGCTACTATGGCGGGTTCCTGGCGTGCATGCTCGACCTGCAGTATGGCGGGAATGAGGCCTCTACAAGTGGCACATTAAGCTGTGTGGTGGATTTAACCTTTGCTAGTACAAAAAAAAAAAAAAAAAAAAAGAGGTTTCTGGCCTACATGCTGCTTTGATAGAACCATAGACCCAATATTTCTGAGAGTTGATGGCTCCCAGAGCTGGCGGAAAATGTATCACTGCCATGTTGGGAAGCTGAAGTGGGTGGAGCCAGCAGCCACAGGGCCAGCGCCGTTTCAGGCTTAGAAGGCTGCAGTTTAAAGCAATAGGCTCAAGCTAATATAAAAAAATAAGCCACATAAAGATGGCTACCACACAGAGAATCTGGATTATGTTCTCTTTGATTTTCATAACTGAAGAAAAACATTTGATTACAAAAACTGTTGAGTTATGCCAAAATGTATATTTTAAAGGTACCTTGACTTCAAAATTTGGATGTAAGGATATGTTGCTTTGGAAAGGAGGCTCTGCTTTTGTTTCCACAGAAAGCCAGAGGCTATAGATTTGTTCCAGATTAAGATACATCAGGTGTGACCAGCCAAGACCCCCTGAAAGGTCTCCAATGACACCATGGCCCAGATGATCCAACATCCAAAACCGTTTCAAGGCAACTGGCTCAGATGATACAGCCTCACGGACTACTCCATGATCCTAAAATTTTCTTTGTTTCCCCAAAGATACAGCACCCCCCTCCAACAGAAAGTAGTAAAAGAAGCTACGCCCAAATTCCCAAATATACCAAGCTGACTTTAGAGATGTGTAATGGTTAAAACCTTCCTTTTTAAGAAAAGAAAAGGGGAAGTGCTGTGGGATGGTCTGTATGTCAAATGTGTTACTGATTGGTCAATGAATAAATCACTGATTGGCAGTGGCCAGGCAGGAAGTATAGGTGGGACTAACAGAGAGGAGAATGGAGAGAACAGGAAGCTGGGTGAGGGAGACACTGCCAGCCGCCATCAGGACAAGGAAGATGTAAAGTACCGGTAAGCCACAAGCCACGTGGCAAGGTATAGATTAATAGAAATGGATTAATTTAAGCTGTAAGAACAGTTAGCAAGAAGCCTGCCACGGCCATACAGTTTGTAACCAATATAAGTCTCTGTGTTTACTTGGTTGGGTCTGACGGCTGTGGGACTGGCAGGTGAGAGAGATTTGTCCTGACTGTGGGCCAGGCAGGAAAACTGACTGTGGGCCAGGCAGGAAAACTCTAGCTACAACCATGTGCCCTGGATTGTGAAGTGTGGCGCTGTTTGCAGGGGAGGGTGGAGGAGAGTGTGTGCATGATCTACAAAGCCAGCTGACCTGGGTTCAAGTCCTGCCTCTGCCTCTTTGCAGCTGTAAAGCCCTGGAGAAGCTACTTGACTGCACTGTGCCTCTATTTCCCCACCTGTAAAATGGAGAGAACACTGTTTTTGCTGTTCTGAGGCTATAGTGAGAAAATGAATGTGACAATTAGCAAATGCACAGACCTTTCATCCAAAGATTCTCCGTCACAGCGTGTATGTCCTCAGCCTCTCCTCATCCTGTGACAGGGAGGTTGCTTCTTGCCCTTGGTGGGCTAGCCTCAAACTCAATTTACAGCTGAGGGTGGCCTTGAACTTCTGATCCCCTTGCCTTCACCTCCCAAGGGCTGGGATTACAGGCATGCAGCTTCTCTGGAGGCATAAGTGGGCCCGAAGCTGCCAGCCCTGCTGCCTTCCTGAGCAGAAGCCCCACACAGACCTGGAATTAACCTCCCACGCCAACGCTAATGACATTCATTTTGGAGCTTCCGCGGAGGAGGGCATATGCAGCGGTCGTGCTGAGAGAGGATTTCAGCTTAATGGCTTTTAGCCCCTGAGCCATGCTCCACAGATGCCTCGGCACCTTTCAAACAACCCCTATTAAGTCCAAACAAAGTGTTCCTTCCGCTCGTCAGGACTGATATTGTAAGCATGATTATGTCAGTTGCTGTTTTTCCATATTGAGTAATTTGCCCAAATTATGTAATTTAATCCTTGTAGCCCTGTTAGGAGATGATCTAGTTAAGGAGAACACTGAGCCCCAGAGAGGTTGTTGAACAAGCAGAGGTTACCCAGTGGCATGAACCTACTCAAGCCTGGCTCCTAAGGAGGTGTTCTTTTTTTTTTTTTTAAGTAATTTATTTATTCTTATTTTATGTACATTGGTGTTTTGCCTGCATATATGTCTATGTAAGGGCATTAGATTTTGGAGTTACAGACAGTTGTTAGTTGCCATGTGGGTGCTGGGAATTGAACCCAGGTCCTCTGGAAGAGCAATCAGTGCTCTTAACTGCTGAGCCATGTCTCTCCCTAAGTCGTTGTTCTTAAACATTGCTCCTCTACACTGGCAATACCCTTTGAAAAACCCTGAGACTGGGGGCTGCCTCTGAGATGCTAATCGGGTGAATGAGAAAGTCCGCCTGGCCTCCAGATGTGCAGGTCCGGTGCGGGGAACAGGGGCAACATGTTGGAGAGGAAGAGTCTGAAGAGAGAGAGATGTGATCAGTTTACTAACCTTGTCCTCCCCCAGACGGGACTGAGCCATCCCTGCCATATCAGACCACTCTCCTACCCTAGCCTGCATGGCCTGTGAGTTGGTGAGGACCTTATGTAGCTGAGCCCAGGGCTGAATGACACAGCTTGAAAACACCCTGTTCCAGCACTCAGGAGGCAGAGGCAGGCAGCTCTCTGAGTTTGAAACCAGACAGGTCTACAGAGTGAGTTCCTGGACAGTCAGGGCTACACAGAGAAACCCTGTCTGGAAAAACAAAAACAAAACAAAACAAAAAACCAAAATATAGCTGGGATGTGATGGTGCACACCTTTAATCTCAGTTCTTGGACGGCAGAGGCAGGTAGATCTCTATGAGTTCGAGGCCAGCCTGGAATTAAGAGTGAGTTCCAGGATAGCCAGGGCTACACAGTGAAACCCTATCTTGAAAAACAAAAAGACAAACAAAACAAAACAAAAAACCACCTACTCTCATGGGTACTGAAGTAACAGCCCCCAAGGGCTGGGCCTTGGGATCCTTCCATCTTACCTTCAGCTATGAGGATGCAGGTGATGGTGGGTGTGGCTAGAGAGCTGGCTATGCCCAACCCAGACCACATCAGCTGTTGGGGCCCAGGACTCTGTCTTCAAGTCTCTGGGAGGCAGATGACACATTTAGGGGACCAGAAGGGAGGCATCAGGTCCTTTACAGAGCAAGTCACAAAGACTTAGGGAACAGTCCAGGGCAGACCATCTACAAGAGAGATTGGGGTTCCCACCACTCTACATCTTGCTTGGCCCTGAGATGGAGTAACCAGCAAGTGGATCACCCAGAATCAGTTCAACTAAGAAGAACCCAGACTACCACCAGTCTCAGGCTCAAAACTTCCAGAAAGTTCCTGCTCTACAGTCAGTCAGGAGGCAACAGACATTGGGAAAGAATCTCCTCTGGGACCTGGTTTTTTTTTCTTCCTTAAGGCAGGCCCACATAACCCAGGCTGGCCTCACACTCAATTTGCAGCCTTGAATTTCTGATCTTCCTGCCTCTGTTTCCCAAGTGCTAGGATCAGAGGCATGCAGCACTATGTCCGGTGTGTGTAAGGCTGATGCTGAGAATCAAACCCAGGACCTCATGCAGCCAGGCAAACACCCTGCCAACTGCACCACATCCCGGTAAGAGCCTCCTCTGACCCCAAATCACCTGGGCTGGAGACTCAGAGACTCAGCCCCATCCTCCCTTCCCACCAGCCCTATCCTGCTGAGCACCCCCCTCTCCACCCCCACCAGCTCAATTGTTCCTGACTCTCATTGTCTTAGCAAGGCACCTCTTTTCAAGCAGTCTTCGGAATTCAGATGGTCCACACCTTAACTGTAGCCCTCTCGTCCTGACATTCCAAGGAAATGTCTCTGAACCCATGTCTTCCCCATAAGAACGGTGCTGTTCTTCCTCATCCTAAACTCCTCTTGAATCTACACCAGACCAGTCCTGTTGCTTGTCCATATCCCTCCAGGCCACCAAGTCACAATCCAGCTGCTGAGCGCTGTCCTATAGCACAGCTACCTGTGTGTCCGTCCTGTCCTCTCCACCCAGGTCACAGTACACAGTGGCCTGAGGCTGGGGAAGCCACTGGGTGCCCTCATCTTAAATCCCCATGAAGAAGCTGGGGTATCCCCATGATACTCCGTCATCACACCCCGGCCAGCTCAGGCCCCCGGGTGTCCACTGCCTCACTCCCTTGCTTCAGGTTAGGCCTCAGACATACCCTCTGCCCCTTGGAAGCTATGAGGCTATTTGAAGGTATGACAGCGATCTGCTTGCAGCCCTCCCATCTCCCACAGAGTCTGCCCTGTCTCTGAAGATTATCAAGAGAACGCATCTGCCTGGCATCCATCCTTCCCACCCCAGGGAGGCTCTGGAAAACGTGAGGAGGGGAGAGCTGTTCCGCTTCTCCTTCTCAGACTGGAACAGAATGTTGAGGTGCAAGCCAAGCAGACCTGACACAGGCTAACTCCCTCGTTGCTTTCACCCCAACGCCCTCCTCCTCCTCTTTACTTCTTGCTAAACAGGGACAAGTCTTTCCGTTTTCTAGACTGTGGGACTGGGGCTGTAGCTTGGTAGGGTGCTTGCCTAGTATACCCAAGGCCCTGGCTTCCATGCCCAGCATGGCATAAACCAGGCATGGTGGGACATGCTTCTAATCCTAGCATTTGGTAAGCAGGATAGTCAGAAGTTGAAGGTCATGACTGGCTACCTGTGACCTTGTCTTTAAAAAAAAGACTTCCAGTTCATGAAGAATCCTTCAGTTGTTATGGTTTAGAATCTCATTCCACCCCACCCCCTGCACACAAGAGTTCTCACATGCGCACACACACACACACACACACACACACACACACACACACACACACACACACACACAGCCTCTGATTCCCTCTCGTCTGTCACAGCTGTGGGAACACCAGCCCTGAACTGCTCCATCAGCTGGGGCCTGCGCTATATATTTGCTACAAAGGCAAAGCTGTGTGATCTGCAGAAAGCACCTTCACCTCTCTGGGCCACTCATAACAGCAGCCTTGGAGCTGTGACACTTAGGGTCATTAAGAAGTGGCTGACTCCTGTCCCCAAACCGCTGAGGTCCTGACCTGTTCTGAAATGCCTGAGAAATTCCCAGGCTAGGAAGCTTAGGTGTCAGATGCGAGCATGACTTGCTTGTTCCAGGGGTACCCTACTCCCAAGAGAGACCCCCTCCTCCCTCTGTTCCTCCTCACCCTTCAGCTGAGCCTCCTGGCTGCCAGGGCTTCACATTCCAACAGGCAGGTAGAGGCAGGTATGGGCAAAGCGTGCCTCGAGCTCCAGGACATTGTCTGCCAGGCCCCGTGCCGTGACAGGGCAGGGTGATGCGGAGAGGTGTGTGTACAAGTGTTGGGAGCCAACTCTGGTTGGAGGCTGGCCCTGCCCAGTCCCCAGGCTGCTCCGTTAGCTCAGCCAAGGTTGAGCTCAGCTAAGTTCAAGATAGTCTCTTCTCTCTGAGACACCCAGTTCAGGGCCAAGAGTGACAAATGGAAACACCACCCAAGACATGTCACCACCCACACCTGGGAATGACCCCATTCGGGCAGAGCATCCACCATCACCGGAGCACACTGCTCTTCCCTGGCTGTCCTGAGCACGGGTACCTACCCTGCACAGCATCTGTCGGCTGTGAAGCTGGGGGCCAGTTACTTGACTTCTCTGGGAGGAACCAAGCTCTAACAAATGCTCTAAGAGCTCGGGGAGGTAAGCTGTCACCATTATTGTTGTCCTCTGGGCCTGGTGACACACACCTGTAATCCCAGCATTCAGGAGGCAGAGGCAGAAGTTCCAGGCCATCTAATGAGTTTGAGGCTGTTGCTGGGTTACATATGACCCAGTCTCAACAACAATAACACCTAACATCGGTGATGTTCATTCTCAAGCCCTCATGCTGTATGTGGACCTGAGCTGGGGCCCAGTGATTCCGTGGAGGACCAGTGATGGCCACCCTCCTCGGGACAGGACTGTGGGGGATAATGAGAATATAAGGATGAAAAGAGAAAGGAACTAGGGGGTCATGCCATCCACTTAAAGCTCCCACTAGCTATGTGAACTTCGGCAAGTCCAGTGCCCTTGCTAGGTCACCATGGCCTTCACCCATTCTTATGAAGGCACCCCCCATTCTGCAGACCTATGACAAGGCTATGGGTGTGGAGGGGGGACCAGCCTTGGGTCAGGTGCTTGATGAGAACCTGGTATCAGATTTGGAGGGGTCTGGAATGCCTCCCCCATCCAGTTCCTCAGTGGGGTCCTTCTTTCCAAGGAGGAAACTGAGCATTATTGTATGTACGTGTGCCTCTAACAGTCCTGGGGACTAAACTGTGTCCAGTGGAGGTCGGGCTTCCTCCTCCAGGAAGTCCCCAGGAAGGCTTTCTTGACCCAGATGAGGCAGTCCTCTGCAGCCTCCTCAGGGTCCACTCCTCTCTATGTCATGGTCTGGCTACATCTCTGTCTCCCTCCTACACTGTGGTGATAGATTGTGTACTCTAATAAAATTTGCTTGAAGATCAGAGGACAGAACAAGCCACTAGATTAAATATCGATGCCAGGTAGTGGTGGCACACACCTTTACTCCTAGCCCTCGGGAGGGAGGCAGAGATCTGTCTGAATCTCTGTGAGTCCAAAGCCACC